CAACCTTTACAATCATGTTCAGCATCCTTTACTTTCCTGTTTGTCAGGCCCAGTTTGATGTTCAAGCATCCTCAATAATGATAGTTCTGGAAAACCTACAGGTTCCACTTTTGCTCTTACTTCTCGTTGCACTCCGTCAGCAAGTCTTCGTATTTTACAGTTTCCTATCGTTCGGTTGGTAAACCTCTTCTAACGTGACACTATTTGTTCCGACAATAAAACACCCTCTAACCAAAGAGCGGCTACATTTTTTTTGTCTTTCTCTCCTTTGCTTCTGCCGAGTATCCGCCAATTAAATCGAAACCTTGTTCATATTCATGAAATTGTTCTCATGTGGAAGTATGAATATTTTGCTCGAACTAACATTCGTGTTACTCCCTTAAAGCAGCTGGCATGATACGCGTAAAAGAGTCAAATGTATCATTTCAAAACTCTTCTAAGTCATTGACAAAAGGTGAAATTTTATTAATTTATCACTTGAATAAGGAATACAGGCCCATATCCTGCAAATTGAACTCAATGTTCCAACGTCCTTCGCTTTCCACACAAAGTACACACTGGATCTTGACGTTTGGAATAATTTATAATGAACATGATTTTGTTGTTGTTCATCTGTTAGAAAATTAGTGTCAAATTATTTTGTTTAAACGTATGTTATTGTCCAAAATTGGTATATCGGATTTTACACAAGTTATTACAACTTATGACGGCATTTTCTGTGATTGCCGACCATAGTTTATGGTAAATCTGGGGCTGATTTGAAAGTATATAGTTATCAACAAGATTTTAACACATACATGTATCATCTAAATTATTCCTAATTCTAATGAAGAAGGGGGGAAAAAAAATGAGTTAGTTAATTACCAGAAAGCCTGAAATTGCAGATCCTGATTATTGAAGATAGAATAAACGGACAGTATTGTCAGATATTCTCTGAAAACATATTTTGAAAATTTTGCCTGAACGGAATGTGTAGATAATTATGTTTAGGGCAACGTAGTGTTAAGGTCGAAACGGGCTCAAGTTCGCCATAATTCCTTTTATTAATTCATCTATTTCATATATATAAGCCTCATTTTGACCACAGAGATATCACATAATAATAAACCTAACACAAAATATACAATTTATGTTCTTTGAAATGATAACACTAAGGCATAAATATGATAACGGTAATTCGTGTTTTATGTTGGGTTTTTTTTTTGTGTGTGTAACAGGAGAGGAAAATGCACGGCTTTTAACGCAAACACTCCAAAATATATTTATTCACTAATCAATAAACTGTATTGAAATCAAATGAAATAAAAACATGTCGTCCGTGTGCTTTTATGTTACTCGTCTGTAAATTATTGATAATAGAGTTAATTTGACGTATGTGTTTATTACTTTGTCCCCAGAGTGAACCCTTCCAATACAATGTCTAGGATACCAACGACCCTACCTGTCTAGCGGAGGAGTATACTCCAGAGTGCAGAGCGGAAGTCAGCCACGAATATTCATAAAATAAATATATAATTTCAGGCAGCACTTTCAGAATCCAACATGCGTATGTATTGGTCCTATGGAAATCTAGCGTCCTTAGATACCGAATCATTCAAATTTGATTAAGGATGCCGCCACCACTGCGAGAAACTGTAACCATTCACTGGAAACGGTATGACTAGAGCTTTGGTCAATGGTTTTTGAAAGCAAATCATACGTTAAAACTTGAAAATAAAACATGTATGTATAGATAGATAAAAATAAATAAAGCACTAACCGTGATCTGAGTTTATACTGCAGATCAGGATTCGAACCTTTGGCCTCTGATCATGAAACACTTGCTTTACTTACCGAAGACAGTGGCGTTACAGTTATAGTCAAAATGGAATTAAAGGGTGTGTGTGTGTGTGTGTGTGTGTNGGGGGGGGGGGGGGGGGGGGGGGGGGAGGATTATCTAGATAGTGGTTTACCTTTAGTGTTTGGTGTGTGTGTTTTGCGTCCTATTAACAGCTATGATCTTTTAAGGACGAGCCGGGTTTTGGTGATTGAGGAAAACTTGACAATAAATGGCCCGCGAAAACAACTATTACAATGGCTTAACCATCATAGCCGCGCCATTTTCTTAACATCACAACATGTCTCATAATCCTTACATACTTTTCAAATCCTTAACCAGCATGAATCTTTCTGGTGTATATAATACATCATTTATGTGTGTGATATCAATCCTAATTTTCCACATAAAACCGATTTAATGTTTTAATTATTTTTTTCTTTTCATTATTAGATACATTTTGAAATGTTGGTTGGAAATGGCATAATAAAATTTAGAAAACATGTGCCCTGCTCCCATTTTTCATATTTGATACTGATAAAAACATGTCTTTCACCAAAGGTACTTATTGCCTATGCATACATGTATGTTTAGTTGAAATAAATTTTCTTGTAACAAAAGACAAATGGATTGGACAAAAGTGTTTGCAGCTTACTTACGTCCTTTCCATAACAAATAAATAAATATACAAAATTACCGTGTCACGCAATAGTCAAGCCCGAGTTTCCGCTGGCCCTAACACCAGACTTAGACATTCTGACATATCTGTCAAAATGTCTTAGTCTGGTGTCAGGGCCAGAGGAAACTCGGGCTAGCAATAGCCTAAAACGTTTTGTTTTTAAATAGAAATATAAGAATATTTTAAAGTTAAAGACGGGGTTACAGCAAAAGAGGTAAGGATAGGATTAGGGACACCAGCTTATATTTTTTGAAATGTGTACTCGAAGGGTTCACTGGATATCGCGTGTGTGATTTATACCTAATCTATACACAATACACACATAGCCTTCTGCTGATCTAAAGTGTAATCACATCCCGTGCCACTGTCTTTCTCCTGTGTCACTCCTAGTCCTTCTGTCAATTCCTGCTTTACGTACTTAGCCGACGTGATTAGGAAAACCAGATACGTGCTCTTTATTATATGGTGACGTTTATGATATGAATGAAACGATAAGCTTGAAGTTAATACACAGAGATCGATGGTGTTGGAAAAAGAGAGAGGGCTGGAATAAGAGAGGAGGTTGAGAAGAGAGAAAGATGGGAATAGTCAAAGTAAGTATCCTGGCTATTCGATATGACTGTTGGATATAGTATATGTTAAACCATTCCGAGCTAAAACTGAACAATTGTACAGACCTACTGAATGTTTAGATTGTAGTCAAGGTTTGCATCTCCGAAGAGAAGGTGTTCCGCCGTGATTTCGTTATAACAGTCGAGGGATTGAAGCATTATATTACGGGATTGATTTTTTTTTTTTTTTTTTTACAGTTTAGTAAGAATGGGAAGAGTCTTCAGAGTCATATCCGCAATCGCAAGTAGGGTCGTCTCGAAGGTGTCACCCCTGCGGGTGGTGGATCGGGAAAAGAATACATCTGCTGTTACCCACTGGATGTATCGTAGGAGGCGACTAATGTGGGAACACCCTGTAGAATTCGGGATTTGATTTGGTGCCCTCTATTTGGGGACACAAAAGAGACCAAAATAAATCTGCTGCGCCCATTGCAATATTTGGGATCTTTATCTTTCTTTCTACTTCTAATTACCTTTTATTTCCTAGCGCCTTTCTTGGCAACACCTCACTTTTGGCTTGAATGTTGAGCGTTCGTGAAGGCAATGGGTTCTATCCCCAGACCGGGACATACCAAAGTCCTTGAAAATGGTAGTTGTTATTCCCTGCTTAACGTTCAGCATTAAGGGAAATGGCAACAACTGGTTCACCCGTTGTCAGTATAATGTTACCGGGCGGAATGCTGTGTTTGGTGCCTTCGGCATGGCATTTCAGTGAGATATAGCACTATAAAGTCGGCATACGATCCGCGCTATCACAAGAAGGCAAGCACACCAACATACCCTGTCTCCTGCATACACACACGCTAGCACGCATGCACTACACACATGGAGGCACGTCCTTAAATGACCTTAGCTGTTAATAGGACGCTATACAAAATTAAATTAAACCAAACCAAAACATCTCGAAGCTGAGCTTTATACATGTCGTAATTAAAAGAGCTACTGCGGTTTCGTAATTGACAATGTAAAATATTAACTTTACTAGACCCATATTCAAGAAAGAATTTGATATTAGAAAGGATAGTGCTTTGAGGTTGAAGAAGAGTTTTGAATTGTTTTATGGATTCTGATGACTAGCTTTGTTTCTATTGGTAGATCATTCCAGGAGTCTAAAGTGCTTGGTATGAAGGATGATTTTGTGACTTGCAGTCTATATATAGTGTGGGTTTTGAAAGTTTTTCTTGTTTTTACGATTGTAGTTAGAGAGATTTTTTACAATAGGTGGAAGAGATTTTAGAAATGGGGGAGCATTATCATGATAAATATTATAAAACATGGATAATTTTCTAATCCTGCGTCTATCTGTCAGCGATTTTCATCCGAGCTCTCTGTAAATAAATTCTCTATTTTTTGTAAAAATGGGTAATCCAGTTATTATTCGACCTGCTTCATACTGCATGTTCTCTAATTTATTAGATTGTGTAATGTTATAATTGTCCCATACTTTGCAGACATATTCAAATAGTGATCTTATATAAACAAGGTATAATTTTTCTAAAAAAAAATCTATTTAGGATGTATGCATGGACAAACATGTAGCCTGGAGCAAGTAAGATTAAAACATGCCATAAAACAGAATAGAAAGAAAGAAAAATCTTTACACTTTTAAATCTGCAATAAAAACATCATTTTAGGTTCCTATATTTGTGTAAAAAAAATATTAAATCGTCAGAATGTTATATTGCAACAATCTGATATTCAATATAACAGAGTTTTATGTTACCGTCAAATTTGTCAAATATTTCGTTAATATTAATGCAAAAACGAATCATTTGACTATCTCGTTCAGAATGGTATTATGATCGATTGCAGTGTGATGCTTTTCATATCCGGTCCGATCTCCGTTTCCTGAATTAGAATCGACATTGCCCGGATGAGGAATGTTTTCATTGGATTCAACATGGCGGACAAATGTCTTAAAAATGGAGTGCGCTAATCTTATCTCTGAAAACAGAGGGTGTTTAACAGGACTTAGTCCCTGCATTTGAAGATGCTTGTGTTCAGGTATAAAATGATTACTTCTATTATGAAACAAGGATGACAAATGATATATAATCAACATTTCACAAAACTAAATTCTGATTCAAGATTCAACCACAGTTCCCACTGTTAAAATAATCTTGCAACTTAACACTCAATGTTGAAAACTCTTTTTTTTGCTGGTTATGACCAAAGTCATCAGTTTTGTTAGACTGCTACCATGACATATATATGTCATGTCGTCTAATGAATGTACTTAATGTAGAAACAGTTGTTGTGAGGCTGGCTCATTCCCAATCCCACAAATTAAAATTGAAATGGAAGCAGTTTCAGTTTGACAATCGATTATAAAAATCCATGTTAATTATAACTGTTGGTTATCTGACTTTTATCTGTTTATTCATTTCTACTGTCTTTTGTTTAAGGATAGTAATCAACTTTCCTTTGTTACAGAATAACAGAAGTTACAGAGAGAATTTGAAATTAAGGTTATGAAAACAAAAATGTCGGACGGCAAGCCTGAGGATACCAAGGCTGAGCCAGGAGAGTTTGAGCACTACCACCCACAACACCCTCTACCAGAGGGCATTCGAAAGATGGAACATGATGACACTATATGTAAGTACTGTGGGGTGAGCTACCTCATCCACAATGAGATCAAAGCCATGGAGGCAAAGTTAAAGAAGACAATTGCCGAGATGGAGCATTACAGAGGCAGTATGGAGAGAGAAAAACAGCTCAGGATTGATTATGACCGACTAATGGGAGAAACAAAGGAACTACGGGAAAATTCCCAAAATATGGAGAACATGTAAGTATAATTGGGTCGGGTTTGGATAACACATTTCTCCCACACCTGACAGATTTATCTCCCGTTTTGCCGGTGCTAGATTTATCTGTCTCCGCCCTAGGGTTGAGACGGGGGGATTCCCCTATTCATAACAATGGCATGACGTCACTTCAACAATACAATGACGTCACGTCAACAATCCATCAACAAATTGCCTGTATGTGTTTTGGGTCCATGTTTACCTTTATTTCACATAAAAATACTGTTAGATATATATGGGAGAAAAATAATCAATCTATTAATACACTGGCCTCGTTGCACTAAGACAGCTATGAAAAACAACTATTTCTTTATAGCCTTAAGGAGAATTAGAGGAGAAATGATAGAACTATATGAAATGTTGAATGGTATTTATGATAAAGAATGTTGCAATTCAGTTGATTATAATCCTATGGGAAGATGCATGTATGTCGCTCAACAGCACAGCAACAGGATACACACAATGACATTATACCCTAAAAGATCAACAAGCGGGCTAAGGAAGCACTACTTTTCAATCAGAACTACCAATATGGAATAAATTACCTGAAACTGTTATATCGGCACCAAATGTTAACTCTTTTAAAAATAAATTGGACAATCATTAGAACAATCAAGAACTTTTCTACAACTACAGAGCTACAATAAAATATTAAGCGTACTATGCATATATATATATATAGAAAATTAGCTGTTTTTTATGATTTATAACTATTAGCATGATATATCTATAATGTATTTATTTATGAGTCTGGTATAGAGGAATTTGATAATTCCTGAAACGGAAATAAACCTATCTTATCTTATTTCAGAATTGTTTTTCCTCGGCTTGAAGTGTTTAATTAATTCTGAAACATCAATGTTTATAATGTCGCACATTTGCTTGGTTATAGCTATAGATAATCTATCTCTAAAAGCATCCAGTGCAAGTTAATTGTTTTCTTTTTTAATAACCATTTTTTACAGTATATCCTCACTCAGAAGTTCCTTAAAAAATGAGGAAGAACTTTCAAACCACCTGAGATTACAGAACCAGAACACTCAGGGAGAGCTCAATAGAACTATCACAGAGAGAGAAAGCTACAGGTACATAAACATTAGTTGTCCCTTGTATCCAGGGATTATTTTACCATACAGAGTAAGATACGAACTGTGTTTGCTTGGTAGTCCACAGGACTAGTTGAACAGATTATTTACTAGTCCTTTGTCAATGTAACTAGTCCAAGGTTTCCATAAGAAAACATCGCGATGTACAGCACAAAAACATCAAAAGTACATTGTAATCGACTGTAGGGGAATTAAAATAACAACTGCCATGGTAAAGTTTTAGGAGAATTTTGACAACGATTGTGCAATATATCCTATTTTAAGCAGTTTTCTAAATTTTATAAAGGAATACTCTTATTTTATAATGATATTTTTCACAAGTCCGAAGGACCAGTTAAGTTAGGTGATACACTAGTCCTTGCTGAAATCTACTAGTCCGGGACTAGTGTTAGTGTCGACCCCTGCCATAGTGACAACAGTATGGTTATACGGATATCCATTTGTTTATTTCAACAGTGACAACAGAAAGTATTGAAATATTACAGTGAATTACTTTACTTGGAAATGAATTTAAAATGTTGGCAAATACTTTACACCTTGGTATCAACATCATTATATTTTTTGAATGAAATAATTGTGTTTAGAAATTTGATAATTCCTCTTTGACCTTGTAAGTTGTATTCCGTCTTTTTGTATTGCAGAGTTATCTGCTCTTGTGAGCAGGTATTGATTGTTACGTCATTTGTTTGTGAGAGTAACGTCATAAATTTCTGAGAAAACGACGTAATTTTCTCGCACAAACTAATGACGTAACAATCAATACCTGCTCACAAGAGCAGATAACTCTGCAATACGAAAAGACGGAATATGTATAGATCTATAGACATTAAATACAAGACAAAAGTTTGAAAATTGTAATTCTGAGTGCATTTGTCCATTCAGGCTCCTCAGGTGGAATGTAAATGGGTCAAAGCGCATGCAAGATTCCTCCTGTATAAATGTGAATTTCAATCCTTTTGTTATTTCGAAAAACCAACACAGGGATACTGTAAAAGAAGAAATCTTCGAGTGAGGAAATCTTTGCGTACTCTTTAAACTGATTGCAGTGTTGAAATTCCCACATTGGTTATGCTTCTAAAATCTTATATTCTATGAATCTTTAATCTTTGTAATCTATAATTAAATATTTGTGTGTGGATAATTTTATGCTATTTTACTCTATGCGAAAAATGTGAGCATATATAATTCCACACCACCAAAATTTCCACTTTTACAGTAAGATGAACAATATTTGTCTGATACTTACATATAGTTGTTTTACAGTGTATATAATCAATCAGAAATTTGTTCACTGTTTTGCAGACTAAAATTTACCTTATTTGAGGAGAAACTTCCCTATATAAAGACCCAACTAGCTTCCCAACGACAGGCCATGAGGGATGTACACAAGTTTGTAGAGGAACGGGACACAAACGTCCAAACTGAATTACAACTACTACAGAAAAACATTATAGAGAAATACCAGTCTGAACAAAAAGGTAAAGTCACCTCTCATGATCATGTGGAGATTTTCTAACCAATTCAATGAAAAATGAGAGTAAATATTCAAATATATATCAATAAAATATTTGAGTAAGCTTTCTTTTTGTTGGTAAATAGGAAGAGGGAAATCAACAATGATGTTTTGTAGGGTGTAATAAATTTGAGGGTTTTAATTTCTGCCTTTTTTTTTCAATGGTTTTAATTCTCGAGCAATAGTTTGGATAGGGATTGCCAGGGTTGAAGGGCCCTCAGTTTAATCCCTGAACAATATATGCCCTCAATGAGGAGGGTTTCCATTCACAATAGTCCTCTTTCACTCAGTTTTTACTCATCGTTTTTTGTTAAGTTTCATAAACATGACCATTCACACCTCTCTCTTTTTTTCAGACATGTATAGACCATGATATGATATTATTGGTAGCAACTGTATGCTGTAAAAGTCTTATTTTTCACAGTCCCTATTTTTTTGTAGATTTGCTAAATTAGTCAATTTCGCAGGGTTTAATTGTGGCTGATTTCAGGTATGGTGACATTTTCTTGGAAAAATCATTACTGCAAAAAATTGAACCTTGCGAAAAATACTTTCACAGAATTGGGCTGAGAAATAGGAAACACAAGTATATATTATTTAAACTGATTTCAATCAATTATAATCCTGTTTCCAGGAATGTCCTCGCTTCTGGAGCAGATTGAAAAACTAGAATCTGAGAAATCAGAATCCTCAATGCAGTCAACAATGATGACAGAAAAGGTACGGCGCCAGGAGAAAGAACTGAAGTCCCTGTCCAATGTCCGGGACGAAAATTCCAAACTACAGCAAAAGTGTGACAGTCTAGAAACCTGTATTAAAGGTTTGTATAATCAGTGATAGGATTGTAAGTGTTTGTATTAAGGATTCCCATCCCATTGCAAGCAGAACACTGTAGATTTTCATACAGACATGTACAATAACCTCCAATCAATTTTGTATTGGGGATCAAACTGCCAGGTAGGTAGGTAGCTCAGTTGGTTAGAGTAATTATATTGTAATAAGAGTTTTCCATGGTTCAAATTCTGATCGTACATTCCTGCTGATCTGTGAATCAGGAAATTTTGAGGGTGGTGATAACGTGTGACAAAATATTTGCATCAAATCAAATCATTTTGCGGCGTCACACATGTTCATGCTGTGTAAGATTCTTACTTTGTGTCATTTTAACTATCGGTACATGGGTTTCTTTTCAGAAATACATATATATGTAATTTATTATAAAACTATTAATGTAAGTCATGCCAGTTAAAAGCTTCTAATTCATAGTTACGTCACAGTAAGTGGTATGTGTAGTATAGTACAGGGACCCTGAATTACTATATTTATTGTATTGTCCTGATTCAGAAAAATCACTACTATCCCCATTTTTGTGAATGAGCAGCACAAATTTATTTTTAAATTGTATGTACATATACTGCCCCCTGCCCCCATTTCTTTTCTTTTGAAAACATTTTGAGATCTAGAGAAGCAGAAAAAAGAAATATCATAATATTTTTTCTTAAACTAGCCAATCTGTAACAATTATAGCTCACTGGTGGGAGAACTATAGTAACCTGTCTATTAACCCTTTCACCCCTATGTAACTTAAATAGACTATACCATGCATTGAATTGGATGAGTCCATTTTGTTCTACAGTGGTACGTGAAAAGGTTAAAAAATTGACGTTATTCAGCTAACTGAAATGTGGTCGCTTAACAAAACCTTATACAATGTATCTGTGTTTTTTTAGTTCAAATCTCAACATCCATCTTGTTTACTTACAGACATCAGACAACAACTGGATGATGCAGTATCGACTACTCGTCAACTTAACTTACAAAGTCAGCAATTCAAGGACAGTCTAAGGTAATAGAAGTTATCTCCCTTCTCACAGCTCTTTACCTACATTACATCCTCGATAGCCAGGGGTTACGCTCACTTTCGCCTTCCGCACCCCTGGACTATGTCATAGCAAAATTGAAGGCAGGTGGCTAGCTATTTGATTGGTCTCAGGTGAAAACAACCTTACCAATAGCTAGGCTGACACCTGCATGTCCTTTGAAGATTACAGAGGAACGACACCCGACTTACATCATGATGTACATCAAAGGTTTGAACTAGTCTTCTTGTCTCATCCACAAGGTTACGCACACTGAGCCTTCAATTTTGTCATGACATATCCCAGGGGTGCAGAGAGTGTAAGTGAGTGTAACCCCTGGAGTATCAAGGTTGCCTATATTATTTCTCTCTTTAATATCTTAATTATGGTAATTTTTTTGTAAGTGTGCTTTTTTTCAGAAATATTTTTCCTATAACTTTTAAATCGTCGAAGGAAACGTTTAAGTATGGTATAGTTCTGTATTTTACAAGTAATTTCAAATTTTAGAATTTTTATTAAATTGTCTTTTTTTTTCTATTATACAGAAATAAAGCCCAGGAGATCGAAGATATAACAGCACAATCTAGGAGGAAGGAGCAGAACACAGAAATGACATTACAAAAGTATAGGACAACTTTCTGTTATATGAAAAAAATTCTTGTGTGATATTGCATCCCACGATACCATATGTATCCCCCCAATTAGCCCATGCCTTGTAATAAGCCCATTAAAATATATTGCAGTTCGATAAAAGTACAAACAAATACTGGTCAATTGTCCTGTTATAAGTCCTCCCTACTTTTAGTGAGATATTGTGAATTGGCCCTCTGGACATATTGCATTGATATTTATGGTATAGGTCTTATGGCATTATTTGTCACATTTGGACCAAATTTCCAGGTGTTCCCTATAACTGAAACCAAAATCCAGTCTAGCTTATTCATCAATTTAAAAAAAATGGAAAAAAAAATCTGAATGTCTTGTTAGTCAAAATAACATTTTTATATTCATATACATGTACCAGGGTAATTAAAAAAAGAAAGATTTAATTTTTCATTCCAAACTGTCATGATGCCCAGCATTATTAAGATGACTTCAAATTTACTATCTTGTACATTGTGTTTCTATGATATAAATTTTCAATAAAAAATCATTCTGATGATGCAAACTGCAATTTGGTTAAAGATGCCTAATTAGCATATGTGAAAATGTGGGCATTGGACCTCTTAATTCTTCTGCAATACAAAATTGAACTCAAGATTTCTTTTCTGTGACAGACTACAAAGTGACTTAAAAAAGAAAGATACAGAACTGATGACACTGACCAAAGAGATGAAATCAATAGAGTCTCGGTTTAAAGAACAGAAAAGGAAGGAGGAGGAAATACACAGAAAGGCAACCCTCACCGTCAGTAAGTTTCTAACCGTGTTCTGCTATGGGGTCTACATGTAGTATGTTACATTATTTAAGGTAGGTGCTGGAATGACTCCGTGTTGGAGTCAACATCAATTATGTTGAATCTCAAAACAGAGTTTTAAAGGGCCAACTTGTTTCTGATGTGCCAGTTGTGCTGGTTGCCAGTGGCATTAAGAAGCACAACCAATTTAAATCTCTTTCACAAGTCTGCCGTGAGGTTTACAATATTTAACATTATTTGAGGTACATGTAGGTGCTAGGAGGATGACTCTCACAGTTCGGTTCTACTTGAATTATGCTTGACCACAAAACAGGGTCTTAAATGAGGAACTTGATTCTAGCATACCAGTTGTGCCGGTTCCTGGGAACAAAGCAGCATTCCCACTTGATTTTGTCTCACAAATCTGCAAGAAATTATGGCATGTGCCCCTTATGGCAAGATTCATTGCCTGTTTGGAAAGACAGGCAAAGTGGCACGCAAAATATATATATGATCCGTAAGGGTCATTTTTCTGCTTTTATAGTATGTAAGGATCATTTTTCTACTTTTATAATATATATATACATAATAAAACAAAACACGAAGACAAGTATAATCGGCTAGCGCTTTCACCCGTCTTGGGGCTATTCAGGCAATTTAAATTTATTTGTGACGTCATAAATGGAGTACACCAATTCAATGAAGTGTCTGCACTGGTGCTTATGAGTTTTTCTAGATCATCAGCGAAATAAATACATGAACCGATGGTATTACAAAATATTGCTTCACTTTTTTCATAATGATTTGTCGCATCCTTCTGATTTGCCTCAAAGAGGGCAAAATGCACTCTTGGTTCCTTGTTTCTGAGTTGGTCGTTTTGTGTTTATGATGATTTGCTATATATATTATTAAGTGCCAGAATCAAACACAGACCTGGCAAACAACAAAGATAGCATGCCAGAATCATACATACGATTACAAAATGTAAAACATATGTCTCAATATAGTTCATACTTATTTTTTTAGCGGAAACACGAGAACTGAAGAATATTTTGGCAAAAGCTGAGGAAGAGATCGAACAACTAAAGGGAGAGAGGTGTGTTTAGATAAGATGGAGTGACTAAAAGGAGACCCTTTCACCCCTGTGTAACTTCAGTAGACTTTACTGTGCATTGATCAGGAGGAGTCCATTATGGTCTGCAGTGGTGAAAGGGTTAAATAATTTGTTCAAATAAACATTGTTTATTTTATGCTTTTACATAATGTTTCATGTTTATCATTTTCTGTTAATAGATTTTAAAATTAAAGTTTGCACCAATTGTCTTCCTGTTATAGTTAGAAATAGTCAAACCAAACAACCACTAATTAATAGGTATTAAATGTCTGTGTTTAATTTAATTTGAATATCATTTTCTTAGTTTTTTTCTCAGAAATGTCATTTACAGAACATTCAGATGTTTTGTAATTTAGCATGTAAGATAATATTTCTGGGTTTTAATGTATATATTCCTCTTAACCCTTTCACCCCTAGGTAACTTTAGTAGACTCTACCATGCATTGATCTGGATGAGTCTTTTATGGTCTACAGTGGTGCAAGGATTGATAGGAATTTAATAGGAAAAAAGTTAGAAGCAGGCAAATATCTGCCTCTCTATCCATATCAATCTTGAATGACACAATACATACATATAATTCATTAACATTCAATTTTAACAAACCAATAAAAGCTTAAAAATTTGCAAAGTGATCATATTTCATATCTTTATTTTTCCACTGTTCATCTAAATTGATTCAAAATTGATTTCAATCGGCGAAAGATCAGTTTTATATATAAACCTATGCCCCTGTGACATGTAGTCGTGCTTTCGTTGATAATTAAGTCATATCCCGGTATCATCAGTTCACTTTTACATTGTACTTCTATATATTTTGTACCTGTTAAATTATTGGAGTTGAATTACTGAGCATACATTAATGTATGGTGCATCCCAAAAAGTATACGCAAAAATGATATTTGAAATATGTTGCAGAGAATCTATGATTATGTCCCATCAAAACCGGATAGAACAACTGCGAGAGAGCTTTAAACAGAAGATGTTTGAGGCAGAGTGTTGGCCAGAAAAGGTAAAAAAAGTCAATAGTCTGAATTATGCCATACAGCAGCGTCCGTCGTCCGTCCATCAACTTTTCCTTTAAAACACAACTAGTCCTATACGGCCCAGTATATTTTGACTAAATTTGGTCTGGTGCATCCTTAGGCCAAGGGGACTCAATTTTGTATAACCGGTGGGGGTGGCCCCCCTGGGTGTAGAGGGGTGGAGCCCAATAGGAGAAATAGAGGTAAACCTTTAAAATCCTTCTTCTACCATAGGGATAACAGGGTTTGATCCCAATGTGGTCTGGAGCATCCTTGGGCCTAGGGCACTCAAATTTGCATAAACGGTAGGTCTGACCCCCTGGAGGCAGAGGCCGGGGCCAAACAGGGGAAACATAGCAAATTCTTCAAAATTCTTCTTCTTCTGTAGGAATGACAGAATTTTGTCCAAATTTGGTATGAAGCACCCTTGGATTAAGGGGAACCAATTTTGTATAAACGGTGGGTCTGATCCCCCTTAGGGCAGAGACGGGGCCCAATAAGGGATATAGAGGAATAGCTTTAATATCCTTCTTCTTCCGTTGGGATGAAGGTATTTTGACCAAATTTGAACAGTAATACATGTGCACTACTAGCAACAATTGGCTATTTCAACTTCAATTTTGCTAACATTTCCAGGTGAGCGATACAGGCTCTCTGGGCCTCTTGTTTGTAAGAGTTGTCTCCCCTGTAATATTTACTGCAAAACATGACCTCCTTAACTCATTTACCCCTGAAATTTCTTCATGAACTATTCCAACCTTTGAATTGGATGAGTTCAAATGTGTCTTCAGGGGTGAATGAGTTAATCTATTTATTCATTATAATGATTTGATATAACATTAACAAACAAAATATTTGGATGAAGGCCATTATTGGTACAGAACATGATAAACTGTACGATCAGTCTTCAAAAAGGTATTTGGACCTGAAATTTTGTCTTAATATACTTTTTTGTAGTCTTTGATGTAACAGCCATATTTACAGGAAAAATAATCAGATTTTTTAGGCCCCTTCGGGTTTGGTTAAAACACCTTTAACCCTTTCACCACTGTAAACCATAATGGACTCATCCAGATCAATGCACGGTAAAGTCTACTAAAGTTACACAGGGGTGAAAGAGTTAAAGGACTCACACAACTAAATCAGCCAATCAGCAAGTGTTTCATACGTTTGTAGTTCCTATCTGAAATAAGTTCCGGCTAATTACTGGGCCACTGAAGGAGTTTAATAAGGAACTGATGACAGATTTTAGGATAAATGAAATGTTCAGGTATTTAACTTTTGAAAAATGTATACTTTTGATATATTTCCATGTCTGTGTGCAGCTTTGCACAGGGGCAAAATGTCTGGGGGCGTTTCTGTTTTGGGTCACCGGTATTACATAGGTTTGAAAGGGTTAACTCACTGTATCTATGAAAGGAAAGAAACTGTTTACGCTGTTATTGGCTAAAAATAGCAAAATAATGCTTACAAAATTGAATAAATGTCTGTACTCTTTCACTCAGCTGGAGGAGGCGTTACAGAAGGAGCGAGCCAAGCATGTGGCCTCCCTGAATGCTATGGAGGAACGACTCAAGGAAAACTTCATTCTAGTATGTATAGACTGTATTCATTGTTAATGACTGAGAATTTCAGATTTCGAGCGGTGCTTACTTCAATTTTCTTGGCATTCACATACTTTACTCAAACTTAACAATGAAGTTAGGGAAGATTATATTGAAATCACTAGCTTGTCAAAAATAACTTTTGGTCCGTTATTCTATAAGTACATGTTCAATTGTTTATTTTGGTGTGCTGCCACGAAGTAAATGCTAGATCAATCAAACTTGGACCATAGATGCATCTTAGGAAGTACATATCTCAACCCATGCATCAAATGCTGGATGCGGCGTACCTTTCATGGTCCATTGACTTTGTCAGCATCTCCATCAACATTAAGTTTTTGCGTTTCAGTTAGTTTCTCTGATATGTGCATTGATGGTCAAAGTGGGGACATATCAGTCTGAATGGCTTGTTTTGCATTTGCCCTGACAGGCAGTTAAATGTCCCACAGAATTGTCCAGGGATCAGCGTCCCGACATGTATAGCTTCTGACACGATGTTGATTCTGTTATTTTTAGTTTCTTCTTTTCTCACCTTTACTGTTTCTTTGCATATGACACTATACCTTATATTCATATTATTAATTCACACACAAAAATTCTACTCAAATGAAACAAAAAAAATTTCTTTTTTTTTCCAGGAAATTCAGATTGAGAAAGAAAAGTACCAGGAACTTTTGGGAAAATATCAGAATTCTAACAAAGAACATGAGGCTGTTGTGAGTACTCCATCTTTTAACGCAACCAACATTAGCTGAAGAAGTAACTGATATCAATGTATTTTCTGGTCATTTCTGAATGTATTTTTATCCAATATTCATCATAATCAGAATAAAACCTACGTTGGTGGTATTTATGAACTTTTTCCCCAATTTTTTTATTTAAACCCTTCCACCCCTAGGTAACTTTAGTAGACTCTACCATCCTTTTATCTGGATGAGTCCATTGTGGTCTACAGTGGTGAAAGGGTTATTAAATCTTAGATAATAATTTTGGTGATTTATTCAACATTGGGGGCAGGACATTTAACAAAATAATGAGAGAAACATAGACATAGTTTAGAAAATGGTGCACAGGAATTAAAAATGGGCAGAGTGGTTTTAACATAAATATCCTACAATAAACCCAGGGAAAGTTTTGAAAATGGTGCACAGGAATTAAAAATGGGCCGAGTGGTTTTACCATAAATATCCTACAATAAACCCAGGGAACCAACTCATGATTTCTCACTCAAAGTAGAGGGTGGGGGTTATTACAGGACCATGAAATAAAATTTGTTTCCATTTCTGCTGAATTGCAATATATTTTGCTGGATAAATATGATACTTGTGTGGCAGATTTTAATTGTAGATCAGATTACGTTCGCCTTCTAGCTTCGAGCTAGAGGAAATTTCCCTTTAGCTGATCAGTTGTAAAGCGTCGGACTAGGAACCTGGAGATCGAGGGTTTGATCCCCTATGGAAGCACACCATTCTCTTTCGTGTTACAAATGATGTCTGTGGACCTTCCTGTGGTGACAGGGAGTTAGAACCTGGGTGGTGGTGTTCGAGAGCGAACACATTTAAAAAGGGGGGAGTAGTGTCAAAGATTCTAATTGTTCATAGGATTACGGTCGCCTACTAGCTTTGAGCTACAGGGAATTTCCTTTCAGCTCAGTGGTAGAGCGGCCGTCTAGCCCTGGTAAAAAATAAGAGCACACTATTCTCTTTCCGGTTATACAAGTGTAATAGCCAAAGCGCTGTCATTTGACAAGGCTTAATGTAATATCGTATTAGGATTTATAATATGCCTTTTATGTTCTTTAGTTCTTGTTGTGTATAAAAACATTGTGTCTGTTTCAGCGTAAATGAGTTTAACAAACTAAAACAGTGTTATATAACTCAGTGAGTAAAGCATGCAGATTTAATAGCAGTGAGATTTATTCACAGACATGTCTGTAGCATTGCTGCATGTTAATTATCTTAATTAATATTGATCATTCAATAAATAAATGTTGTAAATTCATAATTTGAAATTCAATCACTCTTTAAAAAAGATACCAGGAATATGTATTGTCAATTTTCTCACAAATTACTGCTACATGCATACACTAGTGTAGTGACTACATCAATCTCCTTTTTAAAAGAGTTCGCACTGAGAATTGGAATGCATGTACCAAATATATTTACAGACTTTTGTTTTTATTCTCATTGTATTTGGACAGCATCAACATTAGCTGGAAGAATCAGTGGAAATCAAAAATGTGTACACCAGCAGTTTAGTCATTATCAGTATTTTGTGTCGTCAATTTATAACTAGCTTAATGATCCATCAAAGTTCAGCTACATTTTAAAGTTCTGAAATTTTTAAACTTGAAAACAGTTTATCAATATCCAACGTCCTTAAATGACCTTAGCTGTTAATAGGATGTTAAACAAAATTAAACCAAATCAATATCCCCTTTTCTTTTACACTCCTTCAAATAGAAGAGTTCACAGTTATTCACTGTCAGTGTCACAATCACATGACAGCTTATGATTGGTGCATGTTTATTATTGGCCTCAAACAATATTTGTTGTCTGCTTTTGAATTTTGTATCACAAAATTTTAATATTTACCAGGACACTTTTTGCCAGAAAAAATTACTAGGGTAATATTGGGTCAGAATTTTAAATCATGGTGAGTGCCTTAGATTTTATGCTTTTCTTGTATTAAAATCATATAGTACCATACGAGATATCATGATGGTCAATTTTAACAACTTTTTACCCCATTAAGGATGTTTTGATATATTTTAATGACATTTTAATGACATTTTAATGACATGTGCATACAGTAGTGTATATCAACTGTAACTACTGGATCTCAAATCGTTTTGAATTTTTTTCCAGTGAAATTCCCCGGGGGCCACTTATACTTGAAGATTTTAATGACCCCCTATGATGTGTCACCCTTTCCATGTATACATATGTTTAATGGTTGTCTGGACCTTTATGACGTAATAATATTTGGAGAGAACTGCAAAAATAAATACCTGATACATATTTCATGATGATCATATCATAACCAATGTACTAGAATTTTTTTCAAGAGAAAAAATAAAATAAAAACATTTGTCTTTGAATTCAAATTTGCAGTTGAAAGCTCAACTTAACTCCCTGGAGAGTAAATATCGGTCAGAGATTCGAGATCTACAGAAGTTCCTGTCGGACACCAAAGAACGTGCTAAAGATAGTGAGGACTCGTTACGAAAGGAGGTCCAGAGTCTCAAGTCTATTATACAAAACCTCGAGAACAGATTAGGTAAGGAATTCCAGATTCTAAGTTTTAACTTTAACCCTTTCAACACTATAGACCATAATGGACTTATCCAGGAAAAAATACATAGGGCTGAAAGGGTTTGTCTATCTTTATTTATTTTACAACAATTGCATTCTATCAGGTTCTATCTAACTTAAATTAGGCACTCTTGTTGGCTCAGATGGTATGTAGAGCTCAAGGGATTTTAATTGTGGGAGGAAACTGGAGTGCCTGTAGAAGACCCCCTTGGTTGGACACTAGGTGTCCCATTCATTTTCATGTCTGATCAGGGAATTGAACCCTGGCCGTCTTGGTGAAGGGCATGTATCCACTGCACCACCCAAATCTTCATCGTGAAGCTTCAGTTTAAGCTGGCTTTATAATGCTCAACATTTTCATGTCATTTCATAAGTACAATGTACAATGGTTATCCTGCAATAAGTCCAAGGGACCAGCACATACACACTGACTAAAGGTAAGGGTGTGCTTTTATTAGGACAATGAAATTGCATTTGTAAATATTTAGACGGTAGTTTAGTGGTAGGACGCCGGGCTTGTTACCGAAGGGTTGCAGGTTCGAGTCACGTCACAGCACTTGTGTTGTATCCTTGAGCAAGATACTTTCATGATTTATATGATAATTAATGCTCCATTGCTATGAAATTAAATACAAATACAAGATCCTGTCATTATATATTTGTTCCTTCCTTTCAGGGCGTTTGGACATTGGGAATGAGGAGATGATCTCCACTCTGAGACAACAGCTGAAAGAGACCCACCAAGAGTTGGAGGATACCAGACAACAGGTGGAAGACCAAGCTGGCCAGCTAAAGACTGCCCAAGAGGAGGTAAGGGGACATAACTCTGAAAGGAGGAGGTATGAGTAGCGTATGGAAGAGCCGAGCTAAAATAAAAGGGGACATAACTCATGTAGTGCTATTGGTTGCCGAGGGTGATGTACTGTAAAGAGATGTAACTTGAATAATTTAGGAACAAATTCATATCAAAAGCATACAAAATGAAAGTTATATAGATGTAGCGGAACTTGACTGGATCGATCGTTGGCAATCAGGTAGCTCAACTGGTAGAGTATCCGTCAGAGTTCGGAGGGTCCCGGGTTGAAACCCCGGTCTGGCCGTGCATTTTTCCTCACTGTTACAGAGGTGCCTGTGACCAACCCTTGTTTCAAGCATTTGGTGTATGCTTGGCAAGGGGTCACATGAACCTGGCTTGTAAATAGTTGTGTCTTCGGGGGCGAAGACTTAGAAAAAGGAGGGAGGAATGTAGCAGGACTTCACTGGGTTGATCATTAGGGAACAGACAGCTCAATTGGTAGAGCATCTGTCTAGAGTTTGGAAGGTCCCAGGTTCGAACCCCGGTCTGGCCATGCATTTTTCCTCTCCTGTTACATAGACAGAAAAACAAGAAACAGGCTTAAAATGGTTATGATTCCTGGTCTCTTTATGCATTGTGCTGCAATATTTCGATCACCATGATTTGTTTTTCCTCTTCATGAAACATCAAACTTCCTAAAATAGCCATTGGTCAGTACATTTTCAATTCCAACATGCATACAGTATTTATCTGGCAAAATGTAAGAGGATGCCTGGTGATAAGCCCATAATTGCAGGATATATACAGTAATATATGTTCTTAAGTGTTACCTAAACGTGTTTGAAAGTTAAAATATGTCATCATTATTGCTCGTCTTATTACATTGATAGATGAAAAGCTGTGAATCACATACATGTTAACCAGTGGAAATATTCTTTGGTCAACCCTGTATTACAAGTAATTCAGAGACCAACCTCTGGATGTCCAAAATGAGTTCTCTATATACAGGTGGTCTCTTTATACAGGTTCAGTTGGCAAAGAAATCATTTAGTCAGGGCTTGCGCTGTTTCTATTTTTATTTTTTACGCCATTATATATTGTTTATTCAGGATCTGGCTGTCCAGTATTGGTTCTTCTTGTATGTTGTTAGTATCATCTCTCTACTTCCAGTTTACATAAATCTACATTGTGTACATGTGGATTCCTGTTCTACTTACTGGCGTGGTGGCAGCGGTGGGATACGAACCCATGCCTCCAAAGAGACTGGTGACTATGACGTGGCTGCTAAATTGGCTACTAAGTTTAAAGTCTAAATTAGTGGTCTCTTAACACAGGTGGTCTCTTAATAGAGGTGGTCACATGAGCAGGTTTTACTGTATATAACAGATACCTGATCCTCAATATAGTTTCATGTATTTTTGTGTTATGCTCCACAGAATGCCTTTCTCCAAGAGACGGTGAGGAAGGAGTGCGAGGAAAGATTTGAATTGATGGAGAAATTTAGCGAGGTCAAGGAAGAACTTCTCCACCTGAAGAAACCATCAGGTCAGTTAAATTTAAATTGTAAAAGGATAAAATATCTATTTTTCCAATTTTTGGCAGTATTGACTTGCAGTAGAAATAGTCAATGTAAATATTTTCTGCTATTACAGTACTCATCACTGAATGTTGGGCATACTTAGATTCGGATAAAATAGACATATTATAAAGACATCAAAAAGCATTTTTTGTCATATTTCTCTTTTTTTTTATCAAGGTGGATATTCTTCATTGAATTCATCTCGGAACTCTTCAGCTGCAAACCTTAAGAGGTCAGGAAGTTTCAATACTCGGAAGCCTAGCCCTCCTGAAGAGGGGCTCTCCCGACGGGATAGTGAGGGTGCAAGCCCTATGAAGACCAAAACCCCATCAGCACCCTCTAACAAGGAGCTTGGTCCAAGTACAAACAATGAATTAACATTCGGTGGAGAATCAGCAAAAGTTTCAGGACGGTTAAAGGGCAACTCTCTTGCAGAGAACCGCCGTCGTATAGCACAGATACTTGGACGCAGGGAAAAATAGTTGGGAGACCTATTAACTCATTCACCCCTGAAGACAGATTTGAACTCTTCCAAATCAAAGGTTGGAATAGTTCATTATAGAATTTCAGGGGTGAATGAGTTAAATATAATATGTGAATGCCAGTATGTGCCAACTATCTGTATCTTGTAAATATGTGCTGTACATTTTAAGAGGGTATCTATGGTAGCATATTTCTGCCATCGACTTAATTATGAGTCAGGTATGTCAACTTAATTTTTCAAAGATGTCCTAATAAAATAAGAAGATGTTGATCTATTCACAGATTATGTGGACAAAATTTGTAAACTATATAGTCATATGCCCCGCCATAAAATGGGGGTGGGGGCATATAGTGTTGCCCAGGTCCGTCCCGTCTCAACTCACTTAGCAACTTCATTCTTTCACATTTTTTCGTCCAACTTTATATATTATCTAGTTTTAGACGATTTTGCCGAAATATTATCACATATTGGTAAATAGGTGACTCAAGTGCAGCCACTAATAAATCTAGATAATAATGCTGATATAGAAAAAGGCATATTGGCAATCAAGTCTATTTAAGGTGATCTTATAGTACATCACATGAAATTTTTTTGGAAAATTATTGGTTATTTGTGACTTCCCCTATTCTGTTTTGCATAAACAGGTGGCAAGTTGATGTCGCATGCATCCATCTACACGTACTTACATGATAAAATCTCAACGAAAATTGTCTCAGAAAATGTTATAATGTTGATTATATGATCTCAAAGTTATTGTGTCATAGATAATGTCGACATCTTTTTAAACTTTTGTCCACATATGTAACCTGAAAGTTGTAAGTCAATAGCAGAAATATGCCACATAGATATCGAAAGAATGGTGGTGACTGGTTAATTATTATTTATATCCTATAAAATAATTCTCGAGATTATTTTACATGGTTAATCAAGAGGATTATTTTTAATAATGAATTTCTGGATCAGCTTTTTGGAAAGCTTTGATATATCTTTGCCAGGTTCTTCATCCCAAGCAACTTTGTATATATTGCAATCATACAAGGCTTGAAATGTTGATCAATGTTTTGCCTTGTTGATTGTGTATGTCTACATAATCTTAAATGCTATACAAAGTCTTTTTTCAGATTGAAATATATAAACATATACATGTATATGTATACTAAGCTCTTCAGTGATATTGAGGGTGCAGACAAAGACATATGTGACATGTCCAGTCGTGATAATTGATTGGACAATATGATACATTTGTAACTTTGATTTATTCCATTTTTACATGTTGGTGACTGCCATTCAATCTAATTGAAATTATATATTCGCATTACTGCCGTTTACTGATACATTCTGTACAACGTATTTTGTGTGGACATGTCAGTAAACGGGAGCGATGCTAATTTCAATTAGATTGACTGCTAATGTCATTAAACATGTGAAAAGAACTATTCACATTTGCATTTTTTGGGGTCTGCTGAGAGATTGAAATATTTTTTAGAAATGTACTATACATGCTTTTTAAATTGGTTCTCCAATGTTCCTAATGTACATTGTTGAAAAGAATTTTAGGTGTTTGGTGAGATTTTGTCGTAGATACCAGACTACACAATGCTCAGCAATAAATTCCAAAGAGACTACAACAAATATTAGCAATATTTTTGTCCCAATCTTCTGATGACTATGTCAAACATGTTTTATAGAATAGCTTTATTTTGTGGTTTCAATTCATTTTGACCACTCATTCAGTGGCCGATCCAGAAACCTTTCTGGGGGGAGGGTGGGGGTGGGGGTGCAAATTTCCAGGGG